TAAAAACAAAATCTGATGTTTTCCTGAGCAAAAAAAATCTAAATAAACTTAACCCGGTGATTCTGATGAAAGTTCCTGTTGTTGAAGCCACAACTAAAGGAGAGACACTGCAATTGTTACAGGGAGCTGAGCTTTAGTTAACCTGATATATGGTTACATTTAGTGTGTGTGGATCAGAGTTTAATTACTGATCTGCATTGATTAACATTTATCGAGATCTTTTTTAACTCACTGGTAACAATTAGGTTTCCTCACCAGGCCTCAAATAGTCATATAAAAACTATTTGGCTGACTTCAAGTGATACTACTGTCATCCAGCTATCAGACACACCCCTGATAAGGATAAATCTAAAAGCTGCAGGATAAATAATGCTTTAAGATCAATAATCATCAATAATAAGGGGTGAGGTAGAAAGCCTTGATAAAAAACCCTGAATGCTGAAATTTATTTGCACAACTCTGGCAATTTTTTCTGTTTTAAAATGTTCCCATTTAAATATATTTTTATTTTACACTGTAAATAAAAACTATGATCATGTTTTCTTTATTAATAAATAAAAAAGATCTTTATCTTTTAGAAAAACAATCTGAGAATAAATGTTTTCTAAAAATGTTTTTATATTTACTCCACATTGACCTTGACATTGACCCTGGATTTATTTTGTGCAGAGAAATCCTGACCTGTGCTTTCCTGAAAGGTTTGGAGGTGACAGTGGAGCCAAAAAAGGGTTGAATGTTTCAACCTATTTCTAAAGTTCTCTGTTGGCTGAAGCTTAAATGTGACTAAACCTCCTCTGCAGAGTTGTAACAGAAATTAGATTGATTCCAAAGGTTAAACAATCAATAAATAATAAAAGTATGTGTTGCCAAGATTTTATAAATGATAAAGTGAATCAGTTTCCTGATTTTCTTGCCTTTGTCCGACTTGTCCTCGGCTCCTGATCCCGAGTGACTCCCGGAGCTGGCCTGGCTCCCTGCGGAGGAGGGCGGTGCAAGCAGGTTTTTGAGCTCTTCGTTACCGCCGGCGACGTCGCCGCCCTCAGAGCTGTTGAGTGAATCGCTGAGGGCTGAAAGAGACGATGAGGTGCTCTTGGTTTCACTGAGGGGGCTTCTTGAATTCAGACCTGGACAGAAGGAAGAATGGTTTCCCAGTTAGATGACAGGACGGTGAAACCCATCAGAGCTACTGAGGAAGACGGAAAATCAAGGGCCAGAGAAACCCAGAAATAAATCTGTGGGCTGCGTACTGTGCAGAAAATCTATTTCTGGTCACTGCCATTGTTATCTGCATCCACTAAGACACACACATGCAGAGTAAAAGCAGGCCGCCTCAGCAGAGAGCTGTGCTGCCAGACCAATCAAGATGCAGTGTGCTTTTATTGATCCTCTGCTCTAAGTCCACAATTCAGCGAGCAGAGAGGGGGAATTAGTGGGAGAGGGGGCGGCGAGGAGCGCGGGTCATGGTCGAGGGATCTAAGATGGCGGGAGCATCTCGGGGGCACAGCTCAAGAAAGGGCATTCGCTCAGGAGGGAGGAAGGAGCCTGGAAATGGTTGACCTCTCTTTTTAATACGGGCTCGGGTGAATGTACAAACGCAGCGGGTACGCTCTCAGAGACGGGCAAATTATTCTGGGATGGAGGATGAATGATTGCCTTCGATCAAATCTCTATATGTAGCAGGTCATTACAGCTTGGTCTTTGCAGCCTTTTTTTTAATAAAGCTCCCTCGATGCAGGATTCAGCATCTGCATTTTTACCAGCCTCAAAAATTAGCTCAATCTGAATTTTTTTTTGAAACACAACAGATTCGACCAGATGAAAAATAAAGAAATATGAACCGAAATGGACCAAACCAACCAACCAAATGTGAATCTTTTTTTATATGATCCGGACTTTGACTAGAGCATTACATCAGCATGCATAGAAGGGTACTGTGGGGGTGAGGGCCCTTACATGGCTTCCTTATCTATTAGGGGCCCCAGACCAAAAAAGGCTGAAGACCCCCGGTGTATTTTAAGAGTCTGTGGCTGGAAAGCGAGCCCAAATCATACAAGTAGGTTGGTTTGCTTGGAGCTGAGTGCTGCGCCTTACAGCTCTACCTGGGGTTCACCTGTCATAAGTTCAGTGGTCAGGGTGGTTCTACGTGCTCCAGCTGGTTTTTCTTCATAACAGGACAGAACTGGTGCACGCTTTGATTCGGGTCGGTCGGATCATTGTGTTGGTGACTCAGTGATGAAGAATCAAACCAGCTGCAGCAGCTGCTCATCCTTCATGTGATTCATGGCGTTTTGACTAGGGGTGTAAATAATAATCGTTTTGTATCGATGCGTCGATCCAACAACCGACGATCCGATGCATCGATACGACCGCAAGAGAATCAATTCATGTTTTTTTTTCTCCCTCGGGTCTATTTTTATCCATTTGCTCCTGGGCGTAATTATTCCTCCCGTGCTGCGGGGGCACTATACCTATTTTACCCTCCTACCTCGCTTCATGGTTATACTCTTACAGCAGTGTGTTGCAGTGAGCTTGACACAGACAATTTTTATTTATGCTCAATATTAAAGCGTGGTCTGTGCTATACGCTGTGGGTTTAGTCCGACAACGGAGGGACATGAGGGCCAAAAAGAGCGGAGATCCAGGTGGAAAAAGCGTCCCAGCGTTCTCGCGCATCTCGCTCTTCAAGCGGGTCAAACTTAACGGTTTCTGCAATTTCAGTCAAAAAACAAAACAAGCCGGCCTCCTGTCTGCGCCACTGTTTGCGATAAGCAACAATTTGGGAGAGGAGCAACGGAGCATCTGTGGAGGGGGCGGGGACGTCTGGAGTCGAGGTATTTCATTGCACTCATTGCACTGATTTTGTGCAGTATAGATTCTGAAGGCCTTTCAGAATCTATAACGCGGGGGTATTATTATTTTTCATTGAATGAGGTTTTAATAGGAATAGTGGAGTACAACTTTTCTACTTCTGTTATTTGTTGTTGTTTCTCAAAAAAAATGCATAACGATATTACAGCTTTCATTAATTTATTTCAAATTTGAAACATTGTCTAGCCTGTAAGGCAGGGGTCACCAACATGGTGCCCACGACTCAGTACCCCTGAATTAGCCCTCAACAGTAAAAAGGTTGGTGACCGCTGCTGTAAGGTGTAAAAAAAAAAAAAAAAAAAAAAAAATTGGAACCAATTAATTGAATCGAATCGTGGGGTATTCTTGAGTATCAAAAATAATCGAATCGTTGGGTCAGGAAATCGATACTGAATCGAAACCCCATAATGGATGTGATTTACACGCCTAGTCTTGACTAACAGCAGGAAACTGGGTCCTGTTCTGCCCGCTCCGAGACCACTGGAATGGATTCCTGTTTGAGCACTACACCGTTTATAAATATGTTTCTAAGTTACTCGTCAAATATGAACCAGGTAGACCCCCCCACTTCCAGTTCCAGAATCAAACCGGTTAAGGAAGCATTTAACTGCTGCTGGGCTTTAAAACCCTGAAACATGGAGAAACCACTGCCTCCAATGCAAAATTAAAATAATTTTACATAAAATGTGCATTTACCCACAATTTCAGCCAGTGAGACAAATTTGCCTTTGAAATAAGATTATATCAAATAACTCTATTATCTAATTTCAAGTGCCTAATATCTAATTATGTCATTTTAATCGCAGAAACATTCATTCCTTTAGCAGATCATCTCTACCTGCTCAAATTTAAGGCAAATGCAATTAAGAAATTTTCACTTATTTCTGGAGGATATTTTTGCAGTGTCCTTTTAATTGTCCTGCAAAAACTGATCTAAAAACAAGTAAATGTTTCTTAAAATATGTGGATTTAATTTGAATGACTTTATTGGGTTCTATCATCAGCTCCACTACTTCATGACCTCAAGGCAGCTCCTTTGTTTCCTGTCTTTCTCTACTGGATGAACTTATTAGTCCAAGTGTGTCTGGCCATCGTCGTTATGGTTACCAAGGTCAGGCACACCTGGATTAATCAGTTGGTCCAGCAATGACAGACAGGAAACAAAGTAGCAGCCTTACGTTCAGGAAGTAGAGGAGTAAAAGGCCATTAAGCAGGTTAATAAAGAGGATCCACCGATGGAATGATGGTAATCAGGCATCTGAATTAAGATAATGGTTTTAATTATTTTACATGTTTATTATGAATGTTTTCCTACTTTTCCTATAATCAACTGTATTCACAGTAAACCGTGGCCTGTGGAGCTCTTTGGTTTTAATTTCTCAAAGGTTTGATGAATCATTTCTCTCTGCCAACTGATGGTTTTTAATTGTTTTCAAAATGGCCTTTATTGCAGTAATTGTAGGCATGCTAATCTAAGAGCTAAAGCGAAACGAATAAAAAAGTGATGAAACACAAACATCCTGAGAGCAGGGCTGCGTTTTTGACAGCAAGGCAAACTGGGAGTTTTTTAGTCTTCACTGATGTGGAGCTGAGAGGATGTTTTAATGATGGCTTTCCCCCAGAAGGGAAGAGGTTTAAGCTAATTGTGGTTTTTGTCCGTATAACGGTGGTGTTTGTCTCGTGTGAGGCAGAGATAAATGCCACACCAGGCTGAGAGGCTGAACCCTCGTCCCCAGAGTGGCGTCGTAAACTCAGCCCGTCTCCAAAGGACTCAGGGCCTATTGATCCCCCCTCCCTCCCTCCGCCCCTCCAGGCTCGATAAGGACCAACCTTCTCAGATAAACAAGGCCACCATGGAGTACGGAGGACTGTCTGGACTGGACACTCTCACCCCCCACAACCAGGAGCAGAAAAAAACCTCAGCAATAAAGTGAACAAAGGCGTTTTAGACAGAGGAACTCTAATCGGCAATCTGAACTCTAAAAGTCTGCAGTCGCTCGATCAGAGGCTGCTTGTTTGTGACCTCTGACTCTGTGTTTTTAAACTTCTGCACTAAACGGGCTCTGATGGTGGTTGGAGACCATCTTCTTCCACAGAAATCACAAACAGGATTTGACTCCAGCAGATGCTTCCAGCACAGTTTGATAAAAAAGCTCAATGAATTTATCTGGGACTGTATAAGAAACAAAACCATTTTCAAACCCTCCAACCTAAAAATCAGTTGGATTCAAGTCTGGACTTGGACTAGGCCACTCTGAGTCTGCTCTGATCCACAGGATCTCTGGTAGTGGTCAGAGGAGAACCTCCTCCACAACCTCAGGTACCAACGAACATCTGCTCAGTATGAAGCTGCCAGCACCGTGTTACTATAGAGACAGAGGGGTTACTATGGAGACAGAGGTTTCAATCTTATTCAATCGGTTTTCATTGTTCCTCAAAAAATAAAAGGACATTTTAAACAGAAGGCTAATCAGGTTTTTGTGTCAGTGTAAAGTGGTAGTGGAAATGATGCAGTGGGCACCACCAAATTGGTTAGGGCCGGCCCTGGAGCAGTCTTAGGTTATGTTCACACTGCAGCCTGAAGTGACCCACATCCGATTTTTTTTGCCCACATGCGACCTGGATCTGATCTTTTCATTGCAGTCTGAACAACACAGATCCGACCTGAACGCCATTAATACCCGACAAAGGTCACTATTCTGCGTCTTTCTACACAGAGGCGGCAAGAAAACCAACAACCATGGCAGATGATGATGCGGAGAGCAGCATTTATGTCTAAACATATTGAAAAGAATGAGTTTTTATGGTTGGAAAAGACCGCTAGATGCGCACCGGCACTACCATCCAAGTTTACTTCTGTAAACATGGAGCGTGCTGGCCTAGTGACGTCATTGCGTCCTCTACTGAGCATGCGGGACACTTGCGTCGTATGACTGCAGTTCACACAGGAGATCACATACAAGTCGCATTTATTTGGAAATATAAACTGCAAAGTAGGGATGCATGATATAATCGGCCCCCTATTGGTATCGGCCTTAAAACTGAATATCGGACATCGGCCACCCCACCGATATTTAACCCGATATTTGATCAGCTTCTGAGTTTCTTAAGTCTAAAAAAATATATATATATATACTTCTTCTTCTTCCTCAAAAACTTCTTTTTTACAGACGTAAAAACTTCTACAGAGAAGGGAAAAAATATTGATACATTAAA